CACATTTTTACATTAATTCTAGTTAAACTACTTTGATACTCCAACACATCATACGCCCTGTCACACCAATTAAAAAATCTTCATAATTGCACGTTTTCAGGAGATACACAAATTTTTTCTACTAGAAAAGATACATATGTACGGCAGGATTTCTCCCAAGGACATCGGTAAAATTAATTAATGGGGAAAGCATAGTGGATTTGAAGGGGTGTATTACAAGGTTGCAAAACTATAGGGGTATTCTCTGAGTCTTGCAAAGCCCTTGCATGGTGCACAGATTGCACGGATTGCACAGTAAAAACCGGTTTTCGTATGGGACAGCTTTGCAAACCGTGCAATCCGTGCACCGTGCAAGGGCTTTCCAAGACTCAGAGAATACCCCTTATATGTGTTTTAGTCGAATAATTTGTGCATGTCCTGAAAATTTGCAATTTTAGACCATTTTTTAATTAAATTTTTATATTCAACTTTTTTAACAAATTCTTTTCCTCCTTTAAAAAATGCATTTCATAATATTAACAATAATAATAAACAAAATAAAGTGTTTTAGTGTTTGACATGTCCTCTAGGGTTGATTAAAGAATAAATGTGGCAGTATTAATTAGAAAATTTGAAAAATATCCTTTGAAATTTTTATCCTTTAGTATCCTTAATAGTATATATTAATAAGATTTAAATTAAACTAAGATTCTTCAAAACTTATTCAAAATTAAAAATCTCGAAGGATAATATTTTTAAAGGACATTTTTGACATGTTCCAGAAGAATAATTGAAAACAAAAGTTAAGGTTAATCTTGTTTCGAATTCTTCTTTCATTTGATACCCATAGCCCATAACTTTTGGAAATATATTATAACTTATGGTCCTTTGGAAAAAATCCTGACTACCAGGTAAAAAACCAAAAACGCAGATTTACTAAATATTATGTCCTAATACTGTAGGGAGCATAGTAATACCGGCTTATAAAGAAGTAAAATGAGTAAATTAACAAAACACGCGAACTGCAACAAGCTTATTCTGATAACTTTAACTGCAAGTCGGCACGGGTTGCCGTGGTTAAAGTTGCATAAAATTTTATTCGGATAGTTTTTAAGATAACACCAATGAAATGAGTGGGTATGCGTCAAAAAAAAAAAACATTGTTGGTTTTTTGGGACAGTCTAATATATATACAAGAATTGCTCGTTTAATGTAATAAGATATCGTCGTATAGTAAACAATTAACATATCGTCGTATAGGTAAAGCACAAACCCGCGTATCAACAAAATGGAAAACTGTTTATGTGAGGTTGCATAAATTATTTTCTAGAGGGTAAAAACCCTCATATTTGAAAATCGTTCTTGTTTTTATAAAGCAATCGCATTTCTGTTTAGTATAATTCAGAACGAATGGATAAGCCTTGAGCCAAGAGCTTGTGTCAGCAAATCTAATTTACATTACGCGGTTTTGCAGAACGACACTACGCAGTTTTGTACTTTAAACGACGATATGTTGCTAAATGAGTTCGGCCGTTCCCCTTTTTTCGACCGTGATTGGCTCCGTTCAACAGCAGCAACACTGCCTAATCGCCTACTCACCACGGCCCGTTCCACCCACGTACACATAATACACCTACACACACACTTGAATTACAACATAATATGAAACAAGACACAATTGTGCGAATGTCAACGTGTTCAGACGTGTTCTGCGATATAACCCCGCCAAGCCAATAAAGTGCGAAGTTGAAGTCTCCCCGATAATTTTAAGTTTTTATTTTCTCTTTTTTCGGAAAAAGTGGTGAGTGTGCCCCCCAAAGTGTCTTTCCCTTGGTGTAAGAATAGCCATGGTCCTCCGTAACCTTAGAGAACGGCACTTATAGGGATGCAAACGATGCATCGATATTTTTGAAACATCGATAATATCGGTTCAAAATTCGATGTTTGCCATCGATGTTTACAATTTCCTAAAATCGCTAAATTGACGATACATCGATGCCAGTTTCAGCGATGTTTTAACATCGACTTTAGTGTGATTCAGACTTGAATTCAACTTACCCATTATGCTCCTAAAATTTTTTGACTGGCCATGAATTTTATTACTTATTCTTTTGGGGAAAACTCAGAAATTCCGTGTATACTCTTATCTTTCGATATTAAAAATGCGTACATAATCATAAAAAAAGGACCGGGTTCCCGTTGAAATTTCAACGAATTTGGGGCTTGGAACTTTAGGCTCAGCGAACTTACGACGGCATGCATTTTTATTATATTTATAGGAAGGGCAAAGGAATAGTAAATAAATACAGGGAAATACATCCATATGTAAGTATTTTTCTAATTGAATTACAGAGAGTATGAATTGAAAAGTATTAAATTTTCCTTTCAATGTGACTACAACCTAACAAATTTGGAAACATCGGAAACCATCGATATGTCGATGTTTTTCTGGCGATGTATTTTAGCATCGATGTTCATTTGTCCGATGCATCGAAACATCGATGCATCGATGTTACTCCCCAAAATTTGCTGCCTAGGGATGCATTATAGAAAAAAAAAAAAAATTAAAATTTTTGGTTTACAGTCCACAAAACAAATTATAACGTATATAAACAAGAATATCTAAGTGCACAGTGGCATATTACATTTATACTTATATGCATATTTATTCGTAAAACGATGTGCATACTTAACTAATTAAGTGAAAACTGAAAAAACAAGTTATGCCATTTTAAGTGTAATAAGTGAGACTTACCACAATCAGAGCAGACAAGTTTACATACATACTTACTCACAGTGTAAAAAGTCACATACAGATATCCAAATAATTCGGGTGCGCCGCGTAAAAAGCACACAAAAATATAAACAGTTCAAATCCAATTAATGACCTTAACGAAATACCCAAAATCGGGCGCGAAATAATCCTACGTAAAACCAAACCAACAAATTAACAAAACTAAACACCAACAACAACACTATAGAAGGAAGCACTAGATCGCAGGGAGACTCAACGAGGGAAACACGCTACGAGGAGGAAGTAGCAGGATCAGGAGCTTGGACTCTATATCCGAAAATAATTGGCCATAATTATACCCATATACCCCCTACCGCCAAAGCGAGCTGTATCGAGCCAATAAATTGAGATATAAAAAAAAAAATACCGATATTTGCTGAACTTGTGAGAAAATATATATACATATATACATACATAAATATACATATCGGTAAAAACTTTACTGTTCCAAAAAACTGTTTGAACAAAAATAAATAAAAAATCCGTATGCATATATGCGCATGAAAAATAACCTTAAATTTCTGCTTTAAACTATGTTCACATATCAATATTATCTCAATCAAAGCTCGTTTTTTAATCACCCCGTTTACACAGGCAAATCTCAGATTATTAGCCGTCAAATTTGTTGTGCTTGTTATTCTCACATCTTAAGGAAAATTTATGTTTCTTCTCTGTGCTACCATGATCACGTTTTTCTGCTATAATAAGCAATAGATTAAAACTCCCTACCACAAACTCAAACTTTGAAATTTCGGGAATGGGTGGAAGAGTAATACAAAACTCTAATAAAATCTGTTCATTAACCCTGATTTCCCCCAATGCGGATGTAAGAATAAAAGCACAAGCTATAGTTCTGCCGCAACTAACAAATATGCTTCCAAGCTATAAAATAAACGACAAAGATCGTCAAAAATTCGCCTACCTCAAATTAGCGGATCCCAACTGTCACACCCCCGCGAAAGTTGATATCCTATTAGGCAGCGACCTAATACCCCAATTAATACTAGAAGGCATTGAAAAAATTTCAAATACCCTGTTAGCCCAAAATACCATCTTTGGATGGATACTAAGCGGCCAAGTAAGTGAAAAATATCGGTATTCACAACTTAAGTTGAAGATATTTCAAACGAATACCTCAATTCTCAATTAAAAAGATTTTGGGAGTTAGAAGAACTCCCGCCCATACAAGTCACTACACCAGAAGATAAAGCTTGCGAAGATTACTACAAAGCCACAACAACGCGAGCACATAATGGTTGATATGTAGTACGACTTCCATTTAAGCCAGAATTCCCAGACACACTCGCCCTAGGTCGCTCCCGAACCCCTGGGCTTCAGCAGTTTTTAAGTATGGAAAAAACCCTACTTAAAAAGGCGAGCTTAAATCAGCATACGATGGTGTTCTGGAAGAATATCTAGACTTAGATCATATGAAAAAAATAAGTCCATATGAAAAGATAACAAAAGGTAAATACACCTCATTTTATCTACCCCATCATGCGGTTGTAAAATCAGACAAAAAAACAACCTAGGTAAGAGTAGTCTTCAACGCCTCGAAATGTACAAGTTCGGGAAATTCCTTAAATGACATTTTGTACACAGGACCCACATTACAACCTGATTTAATGCTTCTGATTTTAAAGTGGCGTATGTTCAAATACGTATTTAACGGAGACGTCGAAAAAATGTATCGACAAATATTCGTACATAAGGACGATCAAGACTTTCAGCGCATTATATTTCGAAATTCACCAAATACTCCAATATGTGACTATAAACTCAAAACGGTGACATTTGGCGTAAATTGCGCCACCTTTCTTGCCATTCGAACGCTTCACGAATTGGCAAACGATATAAAAGAAAAATTACCCCTAGCAACCCCGGTGTTAAAAACACAAACATATGTGGATGATATCCTGTCTGGAAGCCACAGCTTACCCCAAGCGTATGAAGCACTATGACAAGTAATACAAGCCCTCAACTCAGCAGGGTTCCCCCTAAAAAAGATAACCGCCAATCACCCCGAAATCCTAAAAGATATAAATAAAGAACAGATAGAAAAGGAAAGTACAACAAAAACCCTGGGCATACAATGGAATGCGATCTCAGATAAATTCTCATATACTCTTGAGTCAATTCTGCTCAATCCGCAATAACTAAAAGACAAATTCTGTCGGCTGTAGCGAAACTTTTTGACCCCGAAGGATGGCTTTCGCCAATTATGATACAAGCGAAAATCCTGATACAAGAATTATGGCCAGACGGAACCGAATGGGATGAGCAAGTGACACCACTTCGCTTGGCAAAATGGTCTCAATTTGCTAATAACTTGCATGCTATTTCCGAGATACAAATCCCTCGATGGATAAATTACTCACCAGAATACCAAGTAGAACTGCACGGCTTCTGCGACGCCTCTGAAAAGGCATATTGCGCAACTATATATGTGCGCACCCAAACTAACAGCACAATTTCAAGCCATTTACTAGTAGCAAAGGCCAAGGTGGCACCTCTTAAAACACTCAGTCTACCACGACTTGAACTCTGTGGCGCGCTACTACTCGCAAAATTAGCCTCCACTGTGCAAACGCATTTAAACATGACCAATGAAAAGTTATATCTATGGTTAGACTCAGAGATCGTCATAGCTTGGTTAGAAAAACCACCCCACTCATGGAAAACATATGTTTCCAATCGCACAGCCCAAATACTTGATTTAGTTCGGCCACCAACTTGGCGATATGTAGCCAGTGCTGATAACCCCGCCGAACTTGGCACGAGAGGTTGCAAGCCCCTGCACCTCGCCACCACCTCACTCTGGTGGAACGGCCCCAGCTGGCTAATAGAATCACAACAATCCCCCATACGCAACATAATTGCCCCAGAAAGTCGAAAAGTTGAAACCTTTCACACAAAATTGGATGACGCTGACATCCTAGAACGATTTTCCTTGTTCCCCCGTGCCCTAAGGGTAGTCGCCTATATGCTAAAATTCGTAGAGCGCCTCAAAAATAAGGTGAAGAAAACACCGAATTCCCCAGATAACATGTTAACGCACCAAGACCTACAAAAAGCAAAGGTTTCCCTTGTTGCATATACTCAAACGCGCTATTTCAGCCGCGAAATGTCAATGCTAAGAGAATCAAAACCAGTTGACCAAAAGAGTCAAATCTTAGTACTCAATCCATTTTTAGACACGAAAGGTCTGCTTCGTGCTAATGGACGGCTAGCGAACTCCAGCCTCACATATAACGAACGCCACCGCATAATAATACCAGAGAAATCCCCCTTTGCAACTTTATACCTCAGATTTCTCCACTTATTAATGCTACATTGCGAACATCGCCTCATGCAACAAATGGTCCAACAAGAATATTATATTCCACGACTAAAGCCACAGATCAAAAAATGCATATTTATGTGTAAAGTCTGCACTATACATAAGCAGAAGATGCGCACGCAGATCATGGCAGCTCTTCCACCTGAACGCTGCACTTTCGCTCTGCCCTTCACTACCACTGGTGTTGACTTTACTGGGCCTTTCCAGATAAGGCTTCCATGTTAATGACTTCAACCTTTACGAAGGGTTATGTGGCTGTCTTTGTATGCTTTACGACAAAGGCAGTACACTTCGAGCTATGTTCTGATCTGACCACTGCAGCTTTTCTTGCGGCATTTGCTCGCTTCGTCGGACGGCGAGGATTTCCATCCAAAATAATGAGCTACAATGGAAAAACCTTTGTCGGAGCCAAAAGAGCCACTGAAAAACTATTTATAAAATTTATAGAGGAAGTCTCGCCTGAAATCATTGATTGGCAATTTATCCCACCAAGTGCCCCACATATGGGTGGACTATGGGAATCAGCTGTAAAAAGCTTCAAAACACATTTTAAAAAAGTCTCTGGCACACACAAATTTAACTTTGAAGAATTTACTACATTATTAACCCGAATAGATGTCGTTCTTAACTCACGGCCCCTCTCTGCGCTCTCGCAAGATCCCTCCGATTTCACTGCCCTCACCCCTGGGCATTTTCTTAGAGGAGCTCCACTTCTGGCAATACCCGAACCAGACGAGCAATCCTTATCTTTAATGAATCGATGGGAACGAATGAAAATTCTCCATCATGAATTCAGTCGAAGATGGAAGGAAGATTATTTAAAAGACCTCCATAAATGATACTGATGGAAAAACGCTCAAGAAGCGCCAAAGATTGGAGACTGTGCCCTAATTCATGACGAATGTCTTCCCCCTACGGAATGGCGACTCGGCCGTATAGAGAAACTATATCATGGCTCCGACGGTCATATCCGCGTAGTTGATCTCCGTACACAAAGCGGCATACTAACTCGACCACTCGTCAAGCTATGTTTCCTTCTAACCGCCTCTCCTACCGGTTGCGCGAATACCGGTACCTAAAATCGTCAAACCGCAATAAACGCAACAAAGCCGTAACAAAAACCGAGAATATCAAAAGGTGCATAAATCCGTACCCTCAAACCCACACCAAGTGGCTTACGCCTAGCAATCATGTTCATAACTGCTTGCATCTATTCTATACTAAAGTCCGTTCTCCCCTAATGTAGATAAATATGGACGTGGAAATGATTGAAGCCGCACCAACTCCAACTATCCGTTCGGAAATCACCGTGCCCCGCTCGGCAGCACCGCCAGTAGCAGCTCCTCGCTCTACTGTGCCGCTTACCGCAGCAGCTTCGGCCGCAGCGCCTCGAAACCTCACGCCCCGACCCGCCGCCGCTCCGACGGCATCACCACGCGCAGAACCTCTACAAAGGAGCCCAGCAGCCGTACATGGCGTACGATGTCCGCTATGTCGTCGCCCACATAAGCTACGCCTATGCTCCATTTTTAGGAGTATGCAGCCGCCGCAGCGCCAGCAAGTCGCGCAAGCTCGTGGGTACCGCCTGAACTGCTTGGCGCTATCGCACGCAACGAGGGAGTGCGCCTCACCCATCATGTGCCAACTGTTCGACAGACCGCACCGCACGAACCATTCCCGAGACACCAGTTACCCGCAGTAACCGGCGACGAAGATCGCCGGCACCAGCCTACGCAACGTCTCCGTCGTGCAACCGGACTACGCAACGTAGTGGAGACCCTGCAGCAACTCCAGCAACTACTAGGCTGAAGACTCGCCTAGGGGGGCCGGGATGGCTAAATGCGCTCGGCCGTTCCCCCTTTTTCGACCGTGAATGGCTCCGTTCAACAGCAGCAACACTGCCTAATCGCCTACTCACCACGGCCCGTTCCACCCACGTACACATAATACACCTACACACACACACATATACACATGAATTGTACTTACTCATACGCACACACTTGAATTACAACATAATATGCAACAAGACACAATTGTGCGAATGTCAACGTGTTCAGACGTGTTCTGCGATATAACCCCGCCAAGCCAATAAAGTGCGAAGTTGAAGTCTCCCCGAAAATTTTAAGTTTTTATTTTTCTCTTTTTTTTGGAAAAAGTGGTGAGTGTGCCCCCCAAAGGGTCTTGCCCTTGGTGTGAGAATAGCCAATATGTAAGTATAATTTTGATTACTTTCTTCATGCGTTCTGAAACCTAGTAGGTACTCAACCTCCTTTTCGAAATTATGAATAATTTTACAAGTCCATTATATTTCACATCTTTGAATGTACTGATAAAATCTTCTGCTTTAAAAAAATACTTATTCTGGTGATCGGGTAGCATGAATTCGATGAAATGTCATAATTTTATTAAAAGTCAAATGGTTAACAATAACAAGGAATGTCATTAAATTTAACTACCTTTTTTTTTGTATTATGACTTGAAGTACTTATGTATGTGCTAATTGACTTATTTTCTACAGGCATCAGCGGCCGAGAGCCTTTCTATATTTCCAAATGCGCGTCTTGAACTTTGCGACATGTACTGCAGCAATCAAAACTTAAGCGTACATACATCAGTGGCTTTGAAGGTAGGTCGGAATGATAAACAAATTGTGAATACTAGAAATGAAGATATGAAATTGAAATGCTAGCGATATTTTCTTCATGATATTTGAGTAAATGCATAGACAGACAATAAGGTTAATCCGAATTAAGGATGCAGTTGATCCGACTAAAATTGTCCCCTGACAGACGTAATGGGCTTGGTTAGGGTCCCGCATAAATGTTTTATTTTTTTTTGCGTTATTAACTAATTTTTTAGAAGAAGAATTATATTTTATTATGACCTTTTTATAAAGTCAAACTCAAAAGTTCAAGGAAACAAAAATAAAATGAATTAAATTGTATTAAGAAATTAAATAAAACGAAATAAAAGAATAAGTAAGATAATTAAAAATAAAGAATAAAATAATAATTAAAATAAGTTAAATAAAAACCGCAAATTAAATTGAACAAAAAAATTGCGTATGTGAAATTATATTAACTTAAATTAAAACAAATAAGAAATTAAATAAACGGATATGAATAAAATGAAATAAAAAGGGAAATAAAATAAAAAATAACATTTAGTAAAATAAAATGAAATAAAACAAAATAAAATAAAATAAAATTAGGGAAAAGGCTTCTCGTAAAATCCATTTTCTTTCGGAAGCGGCGTAAAACTTTAGGTCCCACCATTTGTGTAACAATATCAATACGCGCACCACAAATTGGAGAAGAAGTTCAGCCAAATACAAACATATTGCGTAATCGCCAATCTATCATTATTATTAATGCATGAACAAAACAAACTCTAATAACAAAAGGATAAAAAATTAAAAATTGGTATTATGCTACTTGGGTTTATATCAGGGTATAATAAAATTGTTTCCAAAACCCGCTCACATACATATCGTCGCTTAAAGTACAATACCGCATATCACGATAATACAAAACCGCATATTTAAGGTAACCAAGATTTTACAGGAGAGAGTAAAAATTTATGCTAGTCTTGATCAGCGGTATTGCAACCAGTGTTGCCACTGTTGGTCTTTTCCGACCAAATTTGGTCACTTCTTTTTCATTTACTATGTTGGTGGGCAAAGTAAGATTTTAGTCGGATAGTTGAATTAAGATTTAAATTCTTAATTATAACAATATATATTTCAAACATCATTTTGCATATGAATATTTGCCCTTTTAAACATTTGCTAACCCTGCCTTTAAAAATAAAAAACCTATTTGGTTTGGCCACTGATGGAGCCAATGTTATGTTATGTTTATGTAAAGTACACATGCCACTCACTTCTCCTTTGCTCAAGCTGCGCTTGTAAAAAATTCCCGAAAAGCATTGAGACACTGTGCCGCAACATATATAGTTTCTTTTGCCACAGTCCAAAGAGGATACATGAACTGAAGGAATTTCAGGACTACTGTTCGGTAAACCCCCACAAAAACTTGGGCATATCTCAAACACGATGGCTTTTACTAGAAAGCGTTGTGTTAAGGATAGTTTGAAACTTTATTTTATTTTACTAAGTAAACGGTATACGATCTGCCGAAGGTATGTCTTGCAAAACCAAATGCTATTTTTTATTTCTATAGTATATTTTGCCTATAATTAACAATCTTAACAAAGAGTTCCAAGCTGAAAGCTCTCGTCAAAGCGCATAATCTCTTAATTTTGAGTAACTTTATTAAAAAAGATACGATCAATAACCATATTAATATTGAATTTAAAAATGAAAATAATCATATTCAAATATCTGGCATTTTTGTTGGAACGAAAGCTGAGATGTTTATGAGAAGTGATGTCAATTGTTCTGAAATTCTTGAAGTCAAAACAAATATGTTAAAGTTTTACAGGGTATTTGGACCACATAAATTTAATATTTGATTTCAAGCGTGAAGATATAAAACTTTTACATACATATAATAACACCAGCTAAGGTAGTTTCGAAAGAAGATATACAAATTTTACCTCTTTTGTTAAAGTTTCCCATCTCACAAATTGCGAACCTGATCTAATAACCATGCAGTGGAATTTACTGAGGCTAAGTGAGCTTGATATTTCCAGCGATATGGATATTGATATGTTTTGGGAAAAGTTTATTCTATTAAAAATGGAATGAATGAAAACAGCTCGCCAATTTTGTTTTTAATATAATTTCATTACCACTTAGCTCTACGGCTGTAGTACACAATTTTTCAACGCTTTCTTTGATAAAAACTAAACTAAGAAATAAACTTAAGATTGACAGTAAATATAGCATAATGTTATGCAAGGAACTAGGAATGAAACGATATCATGCAGGTAATGATACTACCGGTCAGATCTGTTCTAATTGGTTCATGCCCGCTAATGTTTACAGCGCAAAGAATTATTTAGTTATTCAGTGACTTTTACATCGCGTTAAAAGGTCTGTACTGAAAATCTCCACTTCACACTTCCACTCGAACAATTGGTCGTGTAAACGTTGCAAACCATCGACTTTGGTGAAGCAATTGGATCGCGTGTAAGTGAAAATCTCTCAAGTGGGCCACCCGAAATTGGACGGTCAAGATTTTTCCACGCAAATCCCTTTATTCGGTTTACAACCATAAAAAATATAATTTGAGCAATTTTGCAAAACTCGAAGTTTTACAGAGTTATTGTTATTAACTTTTTTTATGAATTCAGTAATTATTTATTATCCAATGATTCATAGCATGTATCTTGTCGATTTTTGTCATGATAATATGTAGTTAATTAGACACGCTTTAGCCTGATTGTTTAAATTTTTCAAATAGTCATTATTTTGTTAAAAAAAATTTTAATTTTTATCAAAAATTTGTATAAACAAATGGAAATATTTATTACTTCTCGATCAAATTTTTTAATCGTTTACATTGAATATCAATCCTTATTATATAATACAAAAGAAAATAAACGGAAATTTGCTTGGAGTCGCGAGTCGCGCGGGCTCGCAGCGACAGTGGTGCAACCAGAGAATGCACAAAGAAATTAAAATTTATTTATAAACTTAAGTTCATTGGTGCTCCAGGAGACAGGGAACAATTACAGGCGGACCTTAGTAATGTGTTTAAATGGTGTGAAGTAAATTCTATGTCACTTAACTTGAAAAATTGTAAATTTATGTGTTTCTCTAGAAGACCCTATCAATCATATAGCTACCGCATTTGTGAACATAGTGTTGATCAGGTAACTAATTTCATCGATCTAGGCGTAACCATGGACCCTAAGCTTGAATTCAAGTCCCATGTAAACTCTTGTGTTAATAGAGCCAAGGGCGTCTTGGCTTTCATCAAACGTTGGGCTAAAGAATTCAGAGATCCTTATGTCACTAAAGCTCTCTTCACCTCCCTAGTCAGGCCGATCTTAGAATACGGGTCCGTCGTATGGAACCCTAGATATCAAACGCACTCTGACAGACTCAAGTCGGTACAGAAACAATTCTTATTATTCGCATTAAATAATTTGCCTTGGGATTCAACCAAATCTCCCACCGTACAAAAGCCGCTTGAAGCTCATAAATTTGCCAACGCTGCACAGCCGTAGAGAGATGCTCGGGGTTTTGTACATGATTAAGATCTTGAACGGGATGGTCAATAGTCCCTTTCTACTGAACCAGATCACGTTTTGTATTCCTTCTAGGCCTTCTAGATATTACATGCCCATTAAGCTAACTATTTGTAGAACAAATTTTGAAATGCATGATGCTATGCCAGGACTTTAATAAGCATAACGACTATTTTGACACCTCCGACTCCCTGTTTACCATTAATAAATCCTTACTTGAATAAATAACATGTAAACCCTTACATTGCACCTTATCGTTCAGCTGGTGAACTGTATTTCTGTTCAGTTTATGAGGTAAACCTGGTCGACTCGCATACTTTCTCGACTGCGCCACGGTTGTGTTGAGCATTTGTAGATCAAACTTTGAAATTCATGATGCTTTACGATGGCTATGCCAAGATGCAACAAAAATTATGATTGCTGCGACATATCTGAATCGCTTTTTTGTACATAACTAAATAAATTAATATATTTAACCGGGAACGATAAATTACACAATATCTATGACTGCTTAATACAACTGTAATCGGCTTCGTATATTTTCGCGACCGCGTGTGACAATACGAGCATTCGGAAACTCGGCCTTTCCGACCATGATCAACAACTTGTCCACAGCGAAGGGCGGAAATTAGAGCTTTCCGCCTGCGCAACACTCTAAGTAATGACTTCGGGAACTTGGATCGGAAACTCGTTCTTTCCGACCATGATCAACAGCTTGTTCATAGCGCGGAGCGGAAACTAGAGCTTTCCGCCTGCCACACATATAAACTAATGACTTCGGGAACATGGATCGGGAACTCGTTCGTTCCGCCCATGATCAACAGCTTGTTCATAACGCGGAGCGGAAACTAGAGCTTTCCGCCTGCCACACATATAAAGTAATGTCTTCGGGAACATGGATCGGAAACCCGGCCTTACCGACCATGATCAACAGCCTTTCCGCAGCGCGGAGCGGAAACTAGGTCTTTCCGCCCGCCGCACACAAACGTAGACTGAAGACTAGGCCTCGCCAGCTACCAAACCTGCTATTTTATATTATTATTACAAATTACAAATTAATCTATATATTAATACGCTAACATAAATTTTGTCTCCGTTCGTTTGGCGATTCTACCAAACCGATTTCAAAACCAAGAACACCGTTGGAAAGGCATTTTTCCGTAGATGAGCAGAGTTTTTATGGTTTCACAATTGGTTGAAAACCGTCGTTTAAACATTTCCCATTAGTGTATAGATGTTGCTGCAACATGTTCAATTTGACATGTTTCGCCTGTTGTTTCACTACACATTTGAAATTAAGCTTTGAAATAAAGATAGATATGAAGATGAAGAAATAAACGATAACGATGAAGTCAAAAAAAAGAAGGGAAAAGTGAAGACAAAGACGAAAATGGAGACAATGACAGATACATAAGAATTAGGGTAACTGAAAGGGTAAGAACATTTCTTGATTTTATGAAGTGAAACTTC